GGTTAGGTAGAAAGGTGAAGAACAGTCAGGCGCGGACTGGACACCAGCGCGGTATGGGTGGACGCGGGACGCGCGCTCCTGCGCTCCCCTCGCCGCCTCGCGCCCCACGTGCGCTTCTCCTCGTCACGTCGCCTACGCGTGCGCGCTCTCCCTACCGGCGCGCCATAGAGCCGCTGCACCACCAGACCGCTGCACCACCAGAGCCGCTCAGCCCCACTCCAGCATCCTCTGCCATCCATCGCCGCCGCTGCTACTGCCGCCGCTGCTACTGCCGCCGCTGCTACTGCCGCCGCTGCTACTGCCGCCGCTGCTACTGCCGCCGCCCCCCTGCCATATCCCTTGTGCGCGGCGCCCGACAAGCGTCGACCCGAGATCGCGTCCCCCACAGGAACTACCAGGCTCCCTCCGCGTCGCCCTCGCCGCCTCCGCCGTCGTCGCCCTCGCCGCCTTCTCCGCCGCCCGCCCCACCCATTGCTCCGCCGCCGCCCTCTCCGCCGAGCATCTTGTGCACCTACCCAGTCCAGGTGATGGGCCGGCAGCAAGTCGCAAAACTGCTCCTCGGCCTCGGCGGCGCGCATGTGGACGCCAAGACGCTGATGGGCAACACGCCACTGGCCGTCGCCCTAGAGGAGGGCAATGACGAACTGGCGCGCCTCCTGCTGTCCAAGGGAGCGGATGCGTCGGCCAACGACAGCCGCGGCATCACGCCTCTGCACGTGGCGGCCGGGCGCGGCGCTTCGAAAATGATCGCGGAGCTGCTCCGCGCGGCGCCGAGGTGAACGCGCGCACCTCGTTTGGCCTCTTGCCTCTCGACCTCGCCGTCTACAGGGCGCCCACCGCAGGCGGCGCTCCGCTCGCCGGCGGCACTCTCTCGGCCGACGGCTCGCCGGGCGCCGGTGCCAAGGTGCTCCGCCTGCTGGATCCGCTCCCGGCGGTCGAGGCGCTGCTCGACGGCGGTGCGGCGGTCGTGACCGCCCACCCTTGGACTGGCCAGACGACGCTGCACGCGGCTGCGTATCTCGGCCGTGAGGCATGGAGCGAGCTGATGCTGCGCAGAGGCAGCGGTGCCACGTCCATCGCGGCGACGGCCTCGAGCAGCGTGCGCAGTCGACGGGCCGGCTGGCGCCCGCGACGCCGCAGCGCCTCACGCGCCTGCGTGGCGCCGCCTGCGAGGCGTACCGCGCGGCGATCCGACTCGCGCCGAGCAGCGCCACGGCCTACGAGCGGCTCGGCGCTGTCGAGGCGCGGCTTGCGGACTCGCTCGGCGACACCAGGTCGAGTTCTCGCCCCAACTTCGGTCTCTATCGCACACCTTCACCCCACCCCCGCGCATCACAGGTGCGCAGCCTGACGGCATTTGAGCATGCGTGGCGCCTCCGATCCGAGGGCGGGGCGGGCATGGCGGCCTTTGCGCGGACAGGAGTCGACATGGCCCTCGCCGGCATCGGCGCGCACGAGGCGGCCGCACGCCCGGCGCGGACGTTGAGCGAGCTTAGCGTGAGGGACGCCGGCGCGGCGGGCGCCACGCGACATGCCGTCAGTTTGTGGCGCACGCAGGGCGTCGTCGTCTTCCCCGCACTCCTCGCGCCCGCAGACGTGCGTGCGCTGCAGTCGCACGCGCGTGCCGGCGGCGCCGAGACCGCACCGCCAACATCCGCTCGCCCGCCAACCGCACGCTTCGGGCTATCCCGGTCGCGCACGCCGCCGAGGCCCTCTCGGCGCTCGCGGCAAGGCTCGACTCGTTCCTCGGCTATGCGCTGCAGAGCCGCCGCCGCCTACTCCTCGAGATTGGGCTGATGCGCGCGCTGGCGGGTGCGGCCGACCAAGGGTGGCATCGAGACGACGGCATCCTTGATGTGAGCTCACAGGCAACTGCCGCTGGCAGCGGGCTCGACGAAGTCGCGCGTGCAAAGACCGAAGAGATCAGTGGAGCGGACAGCTGCGCGTGCCGCAAGGTGGAGGGCGAGCGTACATGGAGACGGCGACGAGCGCGAACTCGGATCGGCTGGGCATTGTGCACCCGACTGTCGCAGACAACGCGCGCGGGGGGGGACTCGCAAAATCTATTACACCTGGTGCGATTGTGGAGAAACGGGCGAAATAAAATAATCCGTCGGTTTATGCGCGCATATTGGCGCGAAACGCATATTGGCGCACGCGCGCCGCACGTATCATGGGCAAAACGAAGGCCAGGCGGCCAGCCAACGCCGGCAGCGGCGAGCCACCGCCCACGCTCCCACAGGAGCTCGTCGTCCATGTCGCGCGACAGGCTCCTCGTCCGCAAGTCATCGCCAGAATGAGCCGCACGTGCAAGGGCTGGGCCGCCGCTTTGCACAGCCCTGAGGGCGACTTCCTCTGGAAGTTGATGGCTCTCGAGAAATTTCCTCGCGTCCGCGTCATGCTGGAGGCGCTCGAGATCAAGTCTTTCAAGACTTTCTATCGGCAGCAGCGCCTCGCTGATCGGCCCTGCACATAAATGAATGTATCTTAGAAGGAAGTGGGTGCTCGATGTGATAGTCGCCGCGCCGGTCAAAGGGGTTGAGGCCGTTGTGAAGCGACCGCTGCGTGAAGCATAAAAAAGAAAAAAATACGGCGTGATACGAGTACACGCGAGACGCCTGGTGCTCAAGCGCGAGCCGCTGGAGGGACCGAGCCGCGATGGGCTGCGCTAGCTCTAGTGCATCTGAGAGCTCGGCCACGGAAGCGCAGGTCGCAGAAGCGCAGAGTGAGGCAGGGGAGGGCGTCACGGCCGCACCGAGAGTCGCCGAGTGCAATCGGCATGCGGCTAAGAGGCGGTCAGAGGCGACTCGGGTTCAAGCCACGCAGAGCAAGGAGGTGACCGCCAACGAAGCAACAAAGTCCCCCGCCAACCCAAGTGACGATGTCACAGAAGACGAGTCGACAACGCAGCAGCGTGTGGCCGTCGGGAGTTCTGAGGGAGAGGTGGAAGTTCAGCCGGCGCAAGCGCTCGTCTCGCGCAGAGCCGCCGGCTTCAACCTCCCCGAGCGGCTGACCCTCGGCCTATCTGTCAACGCGATGGAGGGCCATAACACGTGCTTGCTCGGATTACTTTTCACTCGAAGACATAGTAGTTTTTTGGCGTTCCGGTGCCTACAAAAAATATCCGAGATGATGTGGAGCTGACCACAGGGTTTGCGGCGATCACTGTCCTACACAGCGGGCAACAGGGGGCCGCGGACACCCGGCAGACAAAAAAAAGAAAAGTTGCGGATTGCGGTGGCACGCTGTTCGCAACCCTTGCGGCTGGCATGGGCTGCTCGGCTTCTTTGCCCGGCGTTGCCGACGCCACCGCCGCTCCTGCCGCATCTACCGCGCGCAGCGGCGCTTCCCTCTCACCTGACCGGCTCGCTGCACGCGCAGCAAGCGCCACTGTTCCTCCGGCCGCACCGAACGCCAACAGCGCCGACCCCGTCTCGCAGCGGGCTGCCAAGCTCAACCTGCCTGAGCGGCTGACCCTCGGCCTATCTGTCGACGCAATTGAGGAGTACATCACCACCCTTCCCGCCGACGCCGTCGAGCAGTGCAACGAGGACCGGCCCACCATCAACGGCGTCCGCGTCCCGGCCAACGCCGACCTCAACGGCTACGTCAACCAGTGGCTCGTCGCGAGGCAGAGCGAGGCGGACGGCGGCAAGGCGTACTGCGAGACGCTGTACGGGCGCGGCGACCCTGGCGTGGGCATCGCCACCGTCTTTGTGAGCTGGTTCCTCGAGACGCCGCTCGCGACGCTGGTGGACGCCCTGCGGCAGTACCTGCGGCTCCACCCAGAGCTGCCGCCCGACACCAAGTTCTGGGTGTGCGACTTTGTGATCCGCCAGTCGACGCGGCAGCTCGACGTCACGATGAACGACGTCAAGCGGCTCGGCGACTGCGTTCGAGCCGTCGGGCACACGGTTCTGCTCATGGAGCCGTTTTACAACCCAAAGCCGCTGCGGCGCGCGTACTGCATCAAGGAGGTGTTCCACACGCAGGCGTCGGGCGCTCGCTTCGAGGTGGTGATGAGCGCGGAGCAGCAGGCGGCGTTTGAGACGGCGCTGGTAAATGACTTTGACTCGATCGCGAAGAAGCTGTCCCAGGTGGATGTGCGCAAGGCCGAGTGCCGCAACCCCAAGGACACTGAGCAGATCCTGGGCGAGCTGGAGAGGGAGGTTGGCCTGACCGAGTGCAACAAGGCTGTGTTTGGGCTGCTGCGGGCGGCTCTGGCGGGGCAGGGCAGGGCGGCGCTGGACCGGATGGAGCCGGAGGAGAGGGCGACGTCGACGCTGATCAACAACCTCGGCTCGCTGCTGCGGGACCAGGGCGACTTGGACGGCGCGGAGCCGCTTTCTCGCGAGGCGCTGGAGGCGAACCGGGAGACGCTCGGCGACCGGCACCCGCGCACGCTCACCTCGATCAACAACCTCGGCTCGCTGCTGCGCAAGAAGGGCGACCTGGACGGCGCGGAGGCGCTGTTCCGCGAGGCGCTGGAGGCGAGGCGAGAGACGCTCGGCGACCGGCACCCGGACACGCTCGCCTCGATTGCTTGGCTCGGCTCGCTGCTGTACGCCAAGGGCGACTTGGACGGCGCGGAGGCGCTGTGTCGCGAGGCGCTGGAGGGGTGCCGAGAGACGCTCGGCGACCGGCACCAGAGCACGCTCTCCTCGATCAACCACCTCGGCCAGCTGCTGAAGGCCAAGGGCGACCTGGACGGCGCGGAGGCGCTGTACCGCGAGGCGCTGGAGGGGCAGCGGGAGACGCTCGGCGACCGGCACCCACACACGCTCATCTCGATCGGCAGCCTCGGCGAGCTGCTGCTTGACCAGGGCGACCTGGACGGCGCGGAGGCGCTGTACCGCGAGGAGCTGGAGGGCTTCCGAGAGACGCTCGGCGAGCGGCATCCGAGCACGCTCACCTCGATCAACAGCCTCAGCTGGCTGCTGTACGCCAAGGGCGACCCGGATGGCGCGGAGACGCTGCTTCGCGAGGCGCTGGAGGGGCAGCGAGAGACGCTCGGCGACCGGCACCCGCACACGCTCGCCTCGATCAACCACCTCGGCTTGCTGCTGAAGGCCAAGGGCGACCCGGACGGCGCGGAGGCGCTGTTCCGCGAGGCGCTGGAGGCGAGGCGAGAGACGCTCGGCGACCGGCACCCGGATACGCTCTCCTCGATCAACAACCTCGGCCAGCTGCTGAGCAAGAAGGGCGACTTGGACGGCGCGGAGGCGCTGTACCGCGAGGCGCTGGAGGGGCAGCGGGAGACGCTCGGCGACCGGCACCAGAGCACGCTCATCTCGATAAACAACCTCGGCAATCTGCTGAGGCAGAAGGGCGACCTGGACGGCGCGGAGGCGTTCTACCGCGAGGACCTGCAGGCGAGCCGAGAGACGCTCGGCGACCGACACCCGAACACGCTCTCCTCGATCAACAGCCTCGGCTCGCTGCTGCACGCCAAGGGCGACTTGGACGGCGCGGAGGCGCTGTGTCGCGAGGCGCTGGAGGGGTGCCGAGAGACGCTCGGCGACCGGCACCAGCGCACGCTCATCTCGATCAACAACCTCGGCTCGCTGCTGAAGGCCAAGGGCGACCTGGACGGCACCGAGGCGCTGTACCGCGAGGCGCTGGAGGGAAGGCGAGAGACGCTCGGCGACCGGCACCCAAGCACGCTCGCCTCGATCAACAACCTCGGCTCGCTGCTGGAGGACCAGGGCGACCTGGACGGCGCGGAGGCGCTGTACCGAGAGGCGCTGGGGGTGAGACGGGAGACGCTCGGCGACCGGCACCCAAGCACGCTCGCCTCGATCAACAGCCTCGGCTCGCTGCTGTACGCCAAGGGCGACTTGGACGGCGCGGAGGCGCTGTGTCGCGAGGCGCTGGAGGGGTGCCGAGAGACGCTCGGCGACCGGCACCAGCGCACGCTCACCTCGATCAACAACCTCGGCTCGCTGCTGAAGGCCAAGGGCGACCTGGACGGCACCGAGGCGCTGTACCGCGAGGCGCTGGAGGGAAGGCGAGAGACGCTCGGCGACCGGCACCCAAGCACGCTCGCCTCGATCAACAACCTCGGCTCGCTGCTGGAGGACCAGGGATGAGACATTAGCCGTGCTTAGCGAAGACTGGCCAACGCCAGCTGGCAACTATGGAGGTATATGTTGTATATGCTGCCGCAGGCGATGAGTCTGAGCGGTAGCGGTGCATGCAACGGCGGGTCTCGTTGCGCACCCGGAGGAGGGTTCCAAGCGAACCAGTTTAGACCAGTTTAGACCACTGGCACTGCTGAACACGAACCAGATTAGTCCTGTTTACGATAAACTAGGTTTAAACCTGGTATGGCTAATGGGGTTCCCCCCCCCCCCCCCCGCGCGCAGCGCGCACACTGTGTGCTCTAAGTGGCTGAAAAGTTAATCAATTGTTTTTTTAGCCCCTACGCCCTCGGGACGCGCACCGCGCTACTGCTCCCGGGCCAGGGGTGTAAGGGAACACACTAGGGCACACCAGGGCCGGTCTAGCCAGCCCTATCCCGCCCACAGCCTTCGAAAACGCACAAAAATCGCACCGCCGGAGCCGCGGCGAATCGCCGCTGGAGGCCGCGTGTCGCGCCACCGACGGCCGCACGTCGAACCCCCGGCTCCGCGCCGCTGCTCCACCGCGCCGGCCATCCAGCGCGCACCCCCCAAGCTGCTGGTGCCCTCTTAAAGGGCCACAAAGCCTCGAAAGGAGCCGTCGACCGTCACCTAACAGGGGTGTCGGCCCCGGGCTCGCCGCTCTTGCGAGCGGTCGGCGGCGTCTAGGGCGGAGCCAGCGGTAGTAGCGGTGGTGCCGGCGTGTGCCGTGACGGAGGGGGTGGCGGCGGGGCGCGGACGGCGGGGTGCGGCGGCCGAGGCTCGAGCGGGGGGGGCGGCAGCGGTGGCACCATCGTCGGCGGAAGTTCGACCTGGCGGGTGAGAGGTGGGAGGCGCCGAGGGCGGAACCGCTGCGGACGCGGCGAGGTTGGAGGCGCAGAGGCCGAGGCGGCACGGGCGGCGGCGCCGACGGCACTGCAGCGCCGGTGCAGCGCCGGAGAGGGCGGCTGAGGTGGCGCGGACGGCGGTGGCGAGAAGGCGGGCGGAAGCTTAGACGGGTGGTGGTGGAGGAGGAGGCGGCAAAATCACGGGCGAAGCGCCGAGGGGGGCGGCGGAGGCGGTGCACCAGCGGTGGGGAGGGTAGCTACGGCGGCGGGGTAGCGGCCAGCATCGCCAGGGGGGGCGGGAGGTGCCGCGGGTGCCGCACGGGCGGCGGCGGCCGTGCCGGTGATGGCGCCTGGTAAAGGGGAGGCGGGTCTGAGAGGCGGACGCGCGGGCGGGAGAGGTGAGTGAGACCACGCACGCGGCTGCGGTCGCGTCGCGCCGTGCGGGAGGGGCGCCGGCGCAACCACGGCGGCAGCCGAGGCGGCTCATCGCGCCGTACAGAGGCTCCGGGGAGGCGCGCGGTGCGGCGGCGCACCGGTGGATCGCCGCGGCAAAGTGTAGCCGAGGCGGGGCGGGAAGCGCCCGAGCCGGCCGTTGGGGCGGCGCCGACGCCGCCCAGGATGCCGTGGGCCGATGGTGCGGAGGAGCGGCCGCTCCCCCTCTCGGGGCGGCCGCAAAACCTGTGCAGCAGCAGCACGCCGAGAACGCGCCTGCGGGGGGTGAGGTGCCTAATGTGAGATTGCGGCCGCCGCCGCGGTTACTTTCTCCCTCCAAAGTGCATGTGCCTTGGGAAGGGGGTGCAAGCACACCTCCGCTACTCGGAATATAGGGTCATGCGACTCGATCGCGAGCGAGCGCGGGTAGACGGTGGCGTCCGCAAAGCGACGGCTCGCGCGCGACCGCGGGCTTGCGCGTCGGCCGTGCGCGGGCAGAGGGCGCGGAGGGGCGAGCGGTGGCGGTCGCTCGCCCGGGCAACCCGCGCGCGGGCGGCGCGCCGCAGCGGGGAGCGCCCAGGGGCGCGGCGCGTGCTGGCTGCGAGCGGGCGCTTGACATCGTTTTTGAGGAGAGATGGCCCAAAAATACCTCCCCCGGTATTTATACCGGTAGGGAGGCGTGTGCCGAATACAAAGTGGAGTCCCGCCTCCGCCCGCAATAAGCGCAGATGTCCTCTTCAGCCTGCTGAGAGCTTCCTGGCCCGCGCGCGCGCTCCGCCTGGCGCGCGGAGCGACTCGGTGGACGTCCGAGCCCGCCGCCCCTCGCCACTGCACCCTGCTGGCCCATGCAGCGCGACACCGCCGGCGCTGCGCCTGCTTCCTTGCGCGCCGCTGGACGTCGGCCAAAAAGACCGCTGCCCTCTGGGGACCCGACTCCGCGAAGATCGCGCGCGCGTCGTGAATGCGGCGCGCGCGCGATCTCCGTTCCCGGGCACGCCGGTCGCAGTGACATGGGATCCCAGGCTCAAAACAGCACGCTCAACAGCGAGAGCGCCGCCGCTGCTCCTCCTCCCGCCGCCGGTCCGCTCACCGAGAC